GCCTGACCATTAAACTTAACCAAGAGGTCTGGGAGCCCATGTCTCATTTCTATTTCTGAGTCCTGGTCTGCTATCCACATTCTTTCAATCGAGTAGAATTGCGCGCAAGCATAGGATCGCGCACGGATCGAAGCATAGATCTTGGCGATGAGGCAACTTCTTGGGAGCGAGGTTTAAAATTAGATTCCAAGTACTTGTCTCGCGATCCAAACGTATGACCGAACCGGACAGCATTGAGCTCAACAGAATAATGACCTCGAAAGGCCTTGACGAGTGAGAAGAGAACAAAGAAGGGGTCGAAGGGAAGGAATGTCCGCACAACCTGCTCGTTTTCCATTCAACCACGCCGATAAGACCCGTCACTTTGTATGACCAGCTGCCTTCTACCTGAGGAGCACTCGAGTCTCTCACCAGTCAAAAGCAAAGAAAAATGAAAGCGTGCTTATCCAGCAGCACCAGGGACCTTGCTCGCGACCTTACCACGTCGAACGACCTCATCCTCCAAGTAGAAGAAATTTCGATGCGGGAGGGACTCGATATTCCACAACCTAATTTCCGCACAACTCTGGTGAGATTGTCTTCTTGCTCAGGGCGAGAGACAGGCCAGACAAAACAGACCATTGGTGGGGTAAAACGCTAGGTAAAGGCCCGCAGCCCGGTGGATCTGTGTTCGGCAGACTGACACATTCCCCTGCCAAGATGTTGCAAATGTCTCTCTTCTAGCAGTCTGGCAGGTCATTTTTGTCTGGGGACAGTCGATAGTGAGAAGTGAGTTCATTGATCGCGCGTACTCCAAATGCAGTAGCCGAGTCCGCTGGCGATACTGTCATTTTGTGCCCATCCAAATACCGCGTGATAGCATCATATATCCGGTTGAACTACCGGCAGCTTGGTACTCACAAAAGGACTGTCCGATTGGTGGATACCTACTTCCTACTGTAGCTGGTGCTGAAACAGCCGAAACAGCAACTCCTCCTGTGGCTGGTGGACGCAACAACTATCGACCGTGGCAGCTCGGACTAAGCAAGTTAAAACGCCCCGTTACTTGGTAAATTACGAGGCAAGCACACTTTACCGACGTGCTGCATTGCGAAGGACTTCTGATGAGAGAGCAGGACGAAGGATCGAAGTATTCACCCCGCATTTTTCTCCGCAACCCGGGAAATTTGTGTTCTGCAGAGTGCCGGCTGCAGCGTGGAGATGTCGGCTGATCTGCCAGGATTAGCGTGCGAGAATGACACGATCAAGTAATGCATACAACTCAACAAATCTGGATTGTTGCGGATGCTGGCGGCGTAGGATGGAGATTATCACGGGCAATGACCGACCTTTTTCGTGCCCAGCGACCGCTGACACGGAGCAGGGGAAAGGTGAAACTCAGCACCTGTTAGTATAAGCCTCCACCATCCGCTCATCTTGACGAGTGTGACAGCCTTAATGAGCTTAATGTGAGGAGATCCTCCCACCGGAGCAGAAAACGGACAAATGGTTTGCACAAATAGTTCATTTGTGCTTTGGCAACTCGCCAGCTGTGCCATCGGTGGAGTCGCACGCATATATATAGCAAGTGCTTGTCTCTCGTATCATGCTTCTTTCCCACCATCATGGGACCGACTTGAGATTGTTCAGTAGCCATGCATTCCTCAATTTTCGTGGCTGTAGCGTCCTGCTTGGTAGCATTGGTCCATGGCTATGCCAACCCGGGGTCATGTTCTGGTGCTTGTAACGTTCATGATCCTGCCCTCATTCGAAGACAGTCCGACGGAAAGTACTTTCGATTCTCTACTGGCAATAAGATCTCCTATGCGTCATCCTCTTCCATTCAAGGTCCATGGACCGTGCTAGGCTCCGTGTTACCGAGTGGGTCGTCGATCAACCTGGATGGAAAAAACGATCTTTGGGTTAGTAATTCCTCAGTTGACAGCATATCTCTTCATTTCACTCAGTCGAGATCTCTCGTCTGACCATCCCTATATCCTCTGCCTATAAGGCAAAGTCTACCTGATAATTGCTGCAGCACCCCTCCGGGGATAAAGTCTGACTCGAACTATGTAGGCACCGGATGTCTCCCTCGTCAACGGCGTCTATCATGTGTATTATTCAGTCTCGACCTTTGGATCCCAATCCTCTGCCATCGGTCTTGCAACATCTTCAACCATGGACTTGAACTCATGGACCGACCATGGTTCGACGGGTATCCAATCCAGCTCCTCAAAGCCATACAATGCGATTGATGGCAACCTCTTCAACGATGGGGGAAAATATTACATGAATTTTGGCTCCTTCTGGCATGACATCTACCAGGCACCGATGAACTCGGCCGCAACGGTCGTGGCGTCTGGGTCCTACAATATCGCCTATAACCCCTCAGGGACCCATGCCGTCGAAGGAGCGTTCTTGTATAAGTATGGCAGTTACTACTATCTCTTTTTTTCTGCCGGTATCTGCTGCGGCTATGACACATCCAGGCCGGCATCCGGACAAGAATATAAGATCAAAGTCTGCCGGTCCACCTCAGCGACTGGCAATTTCGTAAGTAGACACAGGAAAGACCTCGAACTTTGTAAAGCTGATATTGTCCCAGGTTGACGCCAGCGGTGTTGCTTGCACGAATGGCGGCGGCACAGTTGTCCTCGAAAGTCACGGAACTGTATATGGACCTGGTGGACAGTATGTCTTTTCTCATCACATTTCGATCCGTCAGCAAAAAGCGTCAAGATGCTAATTCTTCACCCACAGAGGTGTCTTCACTGACCCAAGCCTTGGCCCTATCCTTTACTACCACTATGTCGATACCACGATTGGCTATGCAGACGGCCAGAAGCGCTTCGGATGGAATAAGATTAATTTCTCCAGCGGATGGCCAGTCGTATGAGCAAGTGGTTAAATGGACAGACTTCGTGGTTCAAGCTTGAAGTATTTGAACGTCATTGAGCAATGCGCGTTATCTTCTCCCATATATCGAATGAAGGATGCATGCGCGGATGACCAAGTGATGTAGATGGAAATTGCCTCGTAGTGGAAAGAATTCGCTTTGAGCAGGTGCAGAGGGAAGGGCACGCAATTGGACTGCCTCAGACCATCCGTATTCTGCCCTGCTCAAGCCCAATTCACTTCACTGCCAGAATCTACCAGGGTCACCTAAGGCTACACTGAACATTAAGGAATTCGTCGTATCAACCTCATACATTACTTGAGACTTAAACGATAATGCAGAAAGAAATTCTAGCCATGCCCAACCCATATTACTATCTTGAAACGGAGTTTAGGGCCGTACTCCAGTACCATCGCTACTCCTGATAAGTATAATGAGGTGTACATAGCATTCGTCCTGGCGCAGTTTAATTGAGGTACAAATTTCCCCATTCCCAGCAAATATTTTCAAGGATAATTGCTCACCTTGGGGATCACAGGGTTAGATCGATGCTCGTAAGCTCAAATTTGGGGCAACGAGAACCGCATTTCGGATACAGGTTTACACCGGCAAGCGAGCTGCTGGATGCGATTATGATGGTCAATCGGGTAATGAAACAATGAATGCAATCTGTGTCCATTCTCTGATTTACTGCGTTGTTTACCCTTGTCTTCCCCCACAGAAGCAGGTCGTGAGCTCAGCAAATCGTCGAACAGAATCGATGAGTGTGAGAAAAGGATGACGGAATCTCCATTCCCAGCCTGACGAAGACTTCCTGATGAACAGTTCCACAAGGAGATGCGTCCGCCTCTACAGGGATGTTGACTCTGCTGCTCAACTGAAGCGGAAGGTAGCCGGAAGTACCGTTTCATTCACGGACTCTCTGGCGAATGAGAGCATTATCATTTGACAAGCGACTACGTCCGAAAACGAAGGATTATCCACACCTTGTGACGGCTTAATATCTACCAGAATGCTATTCGCCTTGATGACCGTGAAGACATGTAGCGGCGCAGTGTGTCCGCGTCTAGACCTGCAAATGACTCTGCATGTGGCTGATTGCGAGAGGAATGCATCAGGACACTAAGAATTGCCTCCAATCTCAATGAGCGGGGTTATTACTCAGTACTCGCGGCGTGTTTGGGAATAGACCTGGAGTTATCCTCATCTCGAAACGGGAGACTTCCGAAAACAATCATACCTAGTACGCAGATTTGCGAGTCAATGGAGAACGTAGCGCGGCAGGAGAAGCACGCTTGATGCTCAATTGGGCTGTATCCGTATGCCTCATTACAGAGGCCTTTGGCTATTACTTGATGTGATTGCTCTTACACCTGCGCTGAGTCTGCAGCATACATTTGCCATTTAAGCGCACATATCTATACTTTAAACAGTTGCTTCCAGCTAGTTTTGTCCGTCACATTGCCTCGGCCAAATGCGCTGACTGGATGAGATGGCTGGAGCCTTCGGCCGTTTGATGAGGCGCTCAGGCCATCGTCAGGCACGTTTGATCAATCCCCTGGGTGATAATAATGGGTAGACGACGATTGGGTCCTTCGGCGAATGGATGCAGATCACTACGTCGACTGCCACGGCAGCAGAATCGGCTTGCTGGACATTGATTAAGCTACTCTGTTTTCCACCAGTGCGCAGATCTTGCCGCTGTGGACATGCAGGTTAAATGAGGGTATTCGTCACCCACTGACGACTCTCTGTCTTGGCACAGCGGAGTATCTTCACCATGATGCTTCTGCCTCTTGGAGAATGAGCAGATATCCTGTATTGGCTTTTCTTGGCATTGGAAGAAGCAACGGGTATGCATTAGATAGTCCGGGGCTTGTCATTCATCGGACGGTGTTACTCCTCGAAGCCTAGCACTCGACGCGTTGAGCCGGGGTTGGAATAGTGACCACCAGGACGACGGTTGATGTTGGACTCTGTCCGGTCTCTACGGGAAGCACGTGAATCGCTCCTCCATATGGCAGCTGCTCGTCTATATAAAGGGTTCGCAGTCCACCGGCTGTCCATGATTCTTCACTACACGATCCTCCAGATACTTTGCTACTCATATCACCGAAACCTCAAGATGCAGCTCAAGCAAGTTCTTTCTCTTTGTCTACTCGGAGCCTCTCTGGTGTCCGCTCATCCTGGCCACGAGGAGAAGCGGGCATCTAACGAGCTGCTGGCGTTCAAGGCGCACGTCCGTCGCGGTCTTTCGCTGTGTGCGCGCTCTTTCGATGAGAGTGGTCTCAATGCGCGCGCCATTGCTCGCCGTGCGAAGCTCGCCAGCGAGTACCGGCGCCGTAAGCTAGCCGTTCGTGACACTGACGACGTGCTCAACACCTCTCACTTGTCCTCGGCCGACTACACGACCTCGACCGACGAGACAGAAATTTTCAGCAGCACTGGAACCTGTGTTCTCAACCCCGAGGGCGAGACAGGCCCATTTTGGGTTAGTGGAGAGCTGATCCGCTCGGGCATTATCGAGGACCAGGCCGGTGTCCCCGTTGTGCTGGATATTCAGTTCGTCGATGTCAGCACCTGCCAGGCCGTCGAGGGCCTGTACATTGACACCTGGAGCTGCAACGCAACCGGTGTGTACTCTGGCGTGAGCGGCAATGGCAACGGCAACAGCGCGGACACCTCCATTCTGGAAGAGACCTTCTTGCGTGGTATAGCCAAGACGGATTCGGATGGTGTGGTATCTTTCAACACGCTCTTCCCCGGCCACTACTCGGGCAGAACGACTCATCACCACATCATCGCCCATCTGAATGCCACCTTGCTTTCCAACAACACCTTGACCGGCGGCACAGTCCCCCATATCGGCCAACTCTTCTGGGACCAGTCCCTCATCGACGAAGTGGAAGCTACCGCCCCCTATAGCACCAACACTGTTGCGCAGACCACCAACGCCGAAGACCGCGTCTTCTCGGACGAGACGTCTGGCACCACCTCGGATCCAGTGTTCAACTACGTTCTCCTCGGGGACAGTGTGGAAGATGGCTTGCTGGGCTGGGTCACTGTGGCGGTCGACCTGACAGCAACCTACACGCCTAACTACAGCTTCGTCTACACCTCCAGCGGCAGCGAGGCAATATCTGGTAATTCAGGTGGCAGTGGTAGTGGTCCTGGCAGCGGCAGCAGCGGTCCTTCTGGTGGCATGGGTGGTGGACCTGGCGGATTCTGAGCGACATGGGCCTGATACATATCTCAGAGACGAGTCACTGCTCTCTATAGCGGGTGCGAATTGTGGTTTGTTCAAGTGTATGTATTGACAGTTAAGAGGACGTCACTCGTTCGGCGATAGTTTCCCACTCTGCAGCTTAAATTATTTGTGCTTGTGTTTATGTACAGAACTTAAATTCAATCACTAAAGATGCGAAATATTTGATACTCGAAACTCACTATCAAAGTTGGGACATAAGGAGTGTCTGCCAGCATCGGCTATATCCGCGTCGGGAAAAGGTCTCCTCTCGGCCGAGGTTAATCAGTACCACATTCCAACTTCATTCACGAATTTCATGCAACATCTTCAATATCGGTAACTATCTGTCCATAAAAATGGAATCTCGTCCCAAGCCAACTCCAAGTAAAAGCTTCCTCAAATATCACGCGGGCTGGCGTCGCGTGGTCAGCCACTTCAGCCCATCGTAAGTCTGCTCACTCGGCTGGCGCAAGCATCACAACACCTGACTGACAATCCGCAGATGGTTCTCCACGACTATGGGCACCGGCATCGTCGCCATTTTATTCCATATCATCCCATTCGGGCACATATACTTGCACTATGTATCCGTCGTCTTCTTCATTCTCAACCTCATTCTCTTTGCTGTAGTACTTTGCATGTCCATCCTCCGGTACACGCTGTACCCTGAGATCTGGGCAGTGATGATCCAGGACCCGACGAACTCGCTCTTCCTTGCGACCTGTCCGATGGGTTTCGCGACGCTGATCGAGATGTGGGTGTTCGTCTGTGTGCCGGCCTGGGGGGACTGGGCGAGGACGGTGGCATGGGTGTTGTGGATTGTCGATGCGGTGGCGGCTGCGTCGGTGACGGTGTCGCTGTCATTCATTCTGTATTACCAGCGCTGCTCATCCAACGGGAAAAGGCTGACAACGATAGGATCTCGCAAACGTATATTACGTCGCTTGAACGCATCACCGCCCTGCAGCTTCTCCCCATCGCGGCGACGATCGTTGCGGCAGGGACAGGTGCGGAGGTTGCTGATATCTTACCAGATCCGCAGCATGCCATGGGTACCGTACTCGTCTCGTATATTCTCTGGGGAATGGGGACGCCTCTCGCGATGACCATTCTGGTGATATACTACCAGCGTCTGGCGGTGCATAAGCTTCCCTCCCGAGAGACGATTGTCAGTTGTTTCTTGCCGCTGGGGCCGCTGGGATTCGGGGGATTTGGGTAAGCCGTTATTTTCACGTCGTACAACTCGATCTGACGAGATAGGATTCTGTATCTTGGGAAAGTTCTGCGCAAACTTGTCGAGACTCACGAGGTGATTGACCCCGTGGCGGGATCGGTCGCATACACCTTGGGGCTGTTCATCTCGCTGCTTATGTGGAGTTTCGGGCTCATATGGCTTGTCTTTGCCCTGGCGACAATCTATCACACGTCCCCGTTTCCATTCAACATGGGCTGGTGGGGATTCACCTTTCCGCTGGGCGTGTATGCGGCGAACACCCTCCTGCTGGGTGAGCAGCTGGATTTGATGTTTTTTAAGATTTTTGGAACGGTAAGCATAAATCGTCATTTAGAAAACTTCAATTACTAAACCAGATAGATACTCAGTGTGGCCGTCATCCTCCTGTGGCTGGTTGTGGCCGCCCGGACGCTGCACGGCGCATGGCAAGGGAGTCTCTTCTACGCACCTTGTCTGCAGAATCTAAAGAGCAAGGAGGATCCAGCAGAAGCGTCTATTCGCCAGGCATGATATAAGTCCGTAGTGCATAGTTGACTCGATATAGATCTCGCCAATTTTACTCCGTTTAGGAAACCCCGCTATCCTCTTGCATCCGCGCTAAGCAAGACACAGCCAATCCAACCCTGGTCAATCCGGATATCACCACAGTAGTGCTGACAGGGAAATTGGAAATTCCAACCGACCTGGCCCCTCGTATCTGCGACTGAGATATCACATGGTGGGATGGATGACGGATCGCGTGCGGCTGAAGACGGGCGTATTTCATTTTCTGCCCCTCCCAGACTCTCCTTCATGTCACTTTCCCCAAGACATCATGGTACGCCTCTTCCCCCCTCCATACACACTAGACATGATTTTAAGCTATGTGAATAGGAAACCGAAAACGAATTCCCCTTCCTCGAGGAGGTATATACACCTCCCTCACAATCCAAGATCGAGTACGAATCCCCTTCACCCTATGAGCGGGAAAGAAGCTGACATACACACCGTAGTTTCGTCTTTGTCCACGGTCTCAACCCCCGCGGCAGAAGTGACCATCCCTACGAAACATGGCGCCATCAGAATGGCACCTTCTGGCCGAGGGATTACCTGCCGCAGGATATACCCCACGCGCGGGTGTTTGTGTATGGGTACAACTCGAACGTGACGAATCCGCAGGCCATGTCGACGGCGAGTGTGAAGGATCATGCCAATACGCTGTTGAATTTGCTTGATATGGAGAGAAGTCCGCAGCTGGTATGTCTAGCTTTGTTTGACAGGGCGCGGAGGCTGATGATGGTAGAATACGCGTCCGCCGAAGATTGTGTTTATCGGACACAGCTTGGGGGGGTTGGTGATTAAGCAGGTAGGCCGCTTGTCAAAGCTTGAGGAGACTGAGATTGATGTGATAGGCTCTGCTCAATGCGCATGAAGATCCCAAGTATACGGCGATCCGGCTGGCGACATGCGGACTCGTTTTCTTTGGGACTCCACATCGCGGAGCCAAGGGTGTTGAAGTCGGCAAGATTGCTGCCAAGGTCGCGCGTTTCGTATCGAAAGGACATGCGAGTAATGAGCTGCTGGATTGTCTCGAGTACAATTCCCTCTTCACGCGGCAGATGTCTAGCCGTTTCAGTCATCAGCTGGAGGACTATCGGGTCGTGAGCTTCGTGGAGGGCAAGGAGGTGTTGATTGGAGGTGCGGGTCCGGCGTCCGTCAGCCATGTAAGCCTCTCCTTCGTGGTGGATGAACAAGGTCTAAAGAAGGCAGCTGGTTGTGGACGAAGAGTCGGCCGTGCTGGGCCTCCCCGGTAACCGGGAAACCCGACTCAAACTCGACGCCGACCACTCGCAGATGTGCAAAATCGGGTCGCGCGGCCCCATGTACAAACTCATCAAGGGCAACATCAAGCAGATCGTCGACCAAGTCCTCGTCGCCGAACAAGGATACATCCCGCAACCGTCGACGTCGCCCAATCCGGGCCCGCCGTTACCTCCGCGCATGCACACCAACAGCAGCTCCCCCTACCCTAGTGCCACCCCCCAGGCGACCGGCCAACGCATCGTGGGGACAATGTACGTGGCGGTCGACAGCGACCCGCGCTCCATTCAAGCCGCCGAGCACAAGAACGCCGGGCGCTGGGATCAAGCCCGCAACCTGGAGTATGCCATCTTCCAGGAACACCTGCGGACGCTGGGCCCGGACCACAATAGCACGATTGAGGTGGGCTACCACCTCGCCGAGATCGACCTGGAGGCCTCGTACCTCGCCAAAGCAGCCGAATGGTGCAAGTGGGTATCCGACCAGGGCCAGCGCACGCTGGGCCCCCGGCACCCGCTGACCCTGCGAGCCGAGAGCCTGATGGGCGATATCCTCTGCGCACGAGGCCGATACCAGGAGTCGGAGTCGGTGTGTGCCAACGTTCTCGCACGCCAGCAGATGAGCATCGGCGACGACGACCTCGACACGCTGGAGACGCGCCGCCGCCTCAGCATGGCGTACGGCAATCTCGGCCAGGAGCAGAATGCGATCAGCATCGCCGAGAAGCGCCACGAGGCGCTCCAGCGCGTTCTCGGCCCGCAGCACATCCGCGTGCTGGCCTCCGCGCTCGACATCGTCGAGGTGATGATCACGGCGCGCACACAACACGCAGAGAAGCTCCTGGAGATGCGCTTCAGCGGGGAGATCGCAAACACCACGGCGCAAACGGGCAAGATCGCGCGCGAGGTGACCGATCTCCTCGGGCCGCGCCATCCGCTTTCGCTGCGTGCGCTGCGTCTGCATGGGATCCTCCAGATGCTACAGCAGGATTCCACAACTGCGTCGGAAACACTGCGGCGGACTCTTGCCATCGCAGAGGAAACGCTCGGGCCTGATCACCCGGAGTCGATGGCCCTGGTCGCCACCATCGGCATCATGTACTCACTACACAGCGACGGAGGGAACTACATCGCGTTCAGCATGCCGGGGACCAACGACAACAAGCTGCAGATGGCGGGGCCGTGGCTGACGCGGTACCTGTCGTGGGCGGAGACGCGTAAGGGCAAGGACAGCGCCGACGTGCAGTCCATGCTGGATATGCTGGCGCAGCTGCACTTCGCCCGGCAGCAGTATACCGAGGCGTACAAGTACTACGAGCGACTGGTGGAGTCGTACCAGATGGCGGGAATGCCCGTTCCGGAGGTGGCGCAGATGAATCTCCAGACGTGTCGCACGCATACCATGCTACTTACGCAGTATTCGTCCCGGGGTTCCGGGTCGGCGATTGAGGGGATACTGAATTCATTTGTGAAGAAGCGTTTCTAGCCTTGTTTCTTGCTATGGACAGGATATATCACATTCAAATCATAACATAATTCTCAAATCAGTTAGAGAACTTCTCGGGAACCTTGTGCCTGCTCTAATTAGCCATTGTACTCTATATGAAGGCAGTGAACATACCCAGTAGCCTTCTCAAACTGGCCCCGGGCGGCATCGGTGATCTTCTCATTCGTCGACCGCATCTTGGCAGGGTCGACCTTGCCGCCGCCGAAGCGCTGTTCAACGGAGTCGAGGCCTGTACAATTAGCGAACGTCCATCAATCCATTCCGTAAGGAGTGTATATTACCCCTGTCGACGTAGTCCTTCTGCTCGCCCTGTGGCTGGCCCTGGGTCTGGGTGCCGGATGCGGAGTGGCTTCCACCGAGCTTGGAGGCGAGACCGGAGAGTTTGTCCATTTTCTTTTCTGATAGGGCTTGTTTTTCTTGAAGTGTTGATTGAGATGGAGGATGAGAAGGTAAGATCAGGGTAGAGGGGTTATATAGCGTTGTACGGCAGTCGATCAGCTCTCCCGCAGTGGTCTGCGTCATTGTGGATGTGCTGACCCGCCTCCATTAATTAGTGCAGTCTGGTTGGATAGTAACAGTGGGGTAGACTGAGCTTAGATATGGGCGGTCGGTGCGAGGTCTTGGCCTTTGATTAGCTTGTTAGGCATGGTAATATCAGCCATGATGTCATTACTGGCTTCGGCTACTACACAGTAGATGGGGAATAGCAGATCAACGGGCATGCATTAGTGACTAACCTTGAACAACCTAGCAATAACCTAGAAGAGCATGTCTGTATGGAGTATTAATGACCATCTCTCAATTCGCACGACTCAAAACAAACACATCGAAGACAAGAGCCCTGATTGAGCTCACAGCTCACAGCTCACTACTAACAAAAGCTCTGGCGTACTAAAGGCTTACATATCTAATGTGCCATGCATGTATTGTGCTGTACATTAGCCTGAGAGGTGGTTAATCATGGGTCCCAGATAAGGGCTTTCAGGCTCATAATCATTAGAATAAAATACCCCTAGATTAAACCGGTGATGCTACTTGGTCTACTATATAATATGAACCTTTATATTTGCACACGCAAAGCGGCAAGTCATACTTCCGGAAAGAATTGCTGGAAAAAGGGCGATGCTACGAGGAACAAGGCCCACGGAGGTCTTCTAGTCTTGCATGCTTCATCTCAGCAGTGAGTGGTCCGTTCAGTCTTGACTGTATTCAAATTCTCGTAGTATCACCATATGCGCTACAGGGATGGTTCAACATGGTCACACGACAGCATCTGAAGGCCAGTTTACACCAAGCTGACCGGATTAACGCCAGTCTGGGGTGCGGTATCAGACGGGAACGACCGCTCAATGACTGGGATCAGCATCTATCTATTAATCAGGCCTCAGTGATTCAAAGTAAGTACGGGGCGGATTAGCAGAGATGAAGTAGAGGCAGGATTTTACGTTGGGAAGTCTAAACCAGCCTAATACTTTAGCGGCGGCCAGGGTCTTGGACAGCCCAACAGAATATGTGTCTGCCTAGTCGTTGGTCTATCAATCTATCTTAGCTTCTAAACCCTGGTCGGGGTTACCTTTAATGGCCATAGTATTGCACCGCCCCGTGCTTGAGCACCCAACCAGGTAGAAGAGAAACCCAACCAATGAGTCAATGCTACATATGGAGGAGCTGCTTGCCATGTGTCCTCTTAGTGACTAACTTATTATAATATCCAAATAGTAGAAAGATATAGATAACCGCTGCGTCTCGTCTTTTCAGTTTCGTTACAACTTGCCTTCACGAAGACAAAATCAACTCAATATCAAGCAGGTCCCTCAACCTTTCCATTTATCCTACATGATAGAGAGGTACTGACTGTGTGCTACGAACCTAGGAAGCATCGGCATGAAGCTCCCTCATAACCTCATCTTACTCCTCGGATCGACCTCCGTCGCATGGGGTATTCTGCTTCCCGCCCCAGGCGCCAGCGAGGAAGAATGCGGACGTCTAGGAATCATGTATTATGATCCGGACGATCTCCCCGAGGGCGTAACTCCCGAAGATGTACGCCATTGTGAAGCTCATCCTTTGAGCGCCCAGAACTACTGGGGTTGGGGCGACCATTTGCCCCGGTGGTTGTTCCCTTAAGGCACGCAATAGGCGGGGTCAGCGAGGAGTCGACCAGTCACCTGTGGTATCTGTCTCTTGCAATTCAAGGCATCATGAGTACTGTTACTACCTTGTGATGTTTGGCTACCCGGAGTGCCGGCTGATGCCCGTCTTCTGTTGTCTTGGGTTTGTTTGGGCTAGGGTCAGACAGATCAAAGCGTTATTACAGAATCATAGGATGAATGTATTCTAATCATGTCTGTAATCCCGCTTAAATATAGCTAAGCAGATAAATTATCGCAATGGATTCTGATGGGAGGGGTATGCTGGGACTGTGCAACCGTACCGGGTCGAGCAGAAGAGGTGCCGACGCCGCCAGCAATGTGGCCACCTGGCTTGATCGTGCAAGGAACTAGTAGATGTCATACTGCCGAAATATAACCTTTATATATCTAATTGCCTGTACTGCTGTTGAGCCTCGTGACCTTCTTGGTATAGTTGATGTCGGTTGCATTGGATCCTCCCCCACAATATCAGAGCTCCCTGCAAGATCACGTTCGATCCAATAATTCTCTATTAGACTCGTCGAGCATAGGAAGGACAGCCCAGCTGCATGAGACGGGACCCCGTGGAATTTATTTGTCGAGAAGCTTTTCGAGCAACTGAACTTCCAAGCCATCATGTCACCATTTCTGACGAACCACGAAGTATTGCATGAGGCTCCGGTGGTCGTCATCGGCGGTGGTCTTCATAATTGCCGCTCGCATTCATGCTGTCTCAACTCGGATGTAATCCACAGTCTTATCCCTATGACAATACGGTATCGAATACTGACCTTCAAGTCCAATCATGGCTGTCGAGGGGTATCCAACCCGACTAGCCCCTCCCAAGCCGCAAGCCCTCTCCCGCGGTCGCTCGAAATCTGCCTCCGGTTCGGACTGGATGTCGACGGGATACGCAAGGTCGGACGTCGGGATAGAATTTGGATTGGATTAACTTTATCATCAGACTCCATGGGAAGCTGGGGGCCAGCCCGCTGAATGAGCGCCTGGATGTGACACGCACCACAAGTGTCCCTCTCTGGCCATACGTGGATTCGGATATTGCGTTCAGCGGATGTGCAGTTTCTTCGGATCGACTCTTCATACCCGTCAAAGCTCTCTCAAGTGGAACGATATTTCACTTTGGACACTCTGGACTCGTGTGCGTCCTGCCACTGCCTCATCAAAGAGGAGTCCGTCGTCTCACTCTGATAATTGCAGCCAGCGGCACCAACGCCGTTTAAGACCATTCGGCTTTCTTTCCGTTGACGCCACAGAATGGTCCGAAAGTCAATCTGGAGCCTTACAGGCTAAGTAAAGCCAAGTTTACCTACTAGTCCCCGTGCTAAGCGTCAGACGGCATCTCAGTGGGTCGCCGGACTTGACGCCTCTCTCCGAAGGAAACCTTTGTGAGCAGTCCAGGTGTCTAGGTATCAACGGCATTTATTGGCGATGATTGGACGAACAAGTGCCCATTGCTTGCAATAACAAGAATCTTATTGATGGTGAGACAGAGCATGCCATTTATATCTCGAAAATCATTGGTTGCTGATATGTTCAAAGGCCAGAGGCCACGAGTTGGCCATCTGCTTGACTGCTCCTATTGCGACCGAGTCATCCCCTTCAATGACCACGTTCTTCAATTGTTTTTGACTTCTCTGTCAACATCGAGAAGTCCAATTTGAAAATAGACACAAGCCGGTCGTTTCTACAAAAGCGGTATCTGAATTGATCTTTTCTTTCTTCGTCGTCTCAATAACAATCATCATGGTTCTACACGCTCTTCAGTCCAGGGTTCCGATGCTGAGCCGTCAACCACAACTAAGAAAACAAGTCCATAGGCAAGTATACGGAACTCTCATGCATTCGACTCTTTTTTTATTTTCTTGTTTATTTTGGACCTTAAGCTGACTCGACTTTAACAATCACAGTCGTCTCCTCTCCACCACCTCTCATCGATATGCCGATGCCAAATTGAACAGAGTTTCGTCCAAAATTACACAACCTAAATCACAGGGTGCCTCGCAAGCGATGCTATATGCGACTGGTTTGGAGGAAGCGGATATGAACAAGGCCCAGGTGGGAATTTCCTCGGTCTGGTTTGAGGGGAACCCTTGCAACATGCACTTGATGGACCTGTCCTCGCTGGTACGCGACTCGGTTGCAAGGGCAGGACTAGTTCCCATGCGTTTCAACTCGATTGGAGTTTCGGACGGAATCAGCATGGGCACCAGTGGTATGCGATACAGTCTGCAAAGTCGTGAGATCATCGCCGACGGCATTGAGACGGTCATGAACGGGCAGTGGTATGATGCGAACGTCTCGCTTCCAGGCTGCGATAAGAACATGCCTGGTGTCGTTATAGCCATGGGCCGGGTCAACCGTCCTAGCATTGTGATCTATGGTGGTAGTATTAAGCCTGGCTGCAGCGCTGGTGGCCAGACTTTGGATCTGGTCAGCGCCTTCCAGTCATATGGCCAGTACATCAGCGGCCAGATCGATGAAGCACAGCGATTTGACATCATTCGCCATGCATGTCCCGGAAGTGGTGCGTGTGGTGGCATGTATACTGCCAATACTATGGCCACAGCTATCGAAGTTCTCGGGCTTACGGTTCCGGGCAGTAGTAGCTGTCCCGCGGAAGATCCTCGAAAGAAAGCGGAGTGTGAGGAGATTGGAGAAACGGTCAAGAACCTCTTGAAGGAAGACATCAGGCCTTCGGATATTTTGACTCGCCAAGCATTTGAAAATGCAATGATCGTGGTCAATATCTTGGGAGGAAGCACCAATGCAGTCATGCATCTGATTGCCATCGCCCAGTCTGTGGGCATCAAACTCACCATTGATGATTTCCAAGCCGTGTCAGACAAGACGCCGTTCCTGGCAGACCTAAAACCATCTGGCAAGTATGTCATGCATGACCTGTACAAGATTGGCGGCACACCTGCCCTACTCCGGTTCCTGCTCAAGGAGGGTTTGATTGACGGGTCTGGCATTACTGTGACTGGTAAAACAATGAAAGAGAATGTTGCATCTTGGCCTGATTTCCCTGAGGATCAACCCATCATCCGGCCGCTGAGCGATCCCATCAAGCCGACGGGTCACCTTCAAATTCTGCGTGGATCTTTGGCTCCCGGAGGCTCTGTCGGGAAGATCACTGGTAAAGAAGGTCTCCTATTTGAAGGCACTGCCAAGTGCTATGACTATGAAGATGCGTTTGTTGAGGCCCTCGAGCGAGGAGAAATCAAAAAGGGGGAGAAGACCGTTGTCATTATCCGATATGAAGGGCCAAAGGGTGGTCCTGGTATGCCGGAAATGCTCAAGCCTAGTGCCGCCATTATGGGGGCAGGTCTGGGTCAGGACGTCGCCCTCCTTACCGATGGCCGCTTCTCCGGTGGCAGTCATGGATTCCTCATTGGTCATATTGTGCCTGAGGCAATGGAGGGCGGTCCGATCGCTTTGGTCAAAGACGGGGACCGGGTGATTATCGACGCAGAGAAGAGAGTTGTCGATCTGGGTATATCCGCAGAAGAGATGGAGAAGAGGAAGAAGGAATGGAAGGCGCCTGAACCTCGGGCAAAGGCAGGCACTCTGAAGAAGTATGCTGCTCTTGTCAGTGATGCTAGCCATGGCTGTGTTACTGATGGGCCACTCTGATGTCTATACCCATGTGGAGTGTAAATATAAGCATTTCGATTATCTGATGGATTGGCACGGAATTAGGTGGATTTGAGGAAACTCAATGCCCAGGAACCCTGGGTTTCCACTAAAGATGGTGCCGCATATCCCTGTCGTTCTTAATTCTAGAAGACATTAGGGCAATAATCACACAGCTACTGCATATTAAAATTCTTGACAGAGTAATCATGTTAAAAGGTGGTAAATGAATTAAGAGTTATAGAAAGCTTTATGTCCCTATATATCTCAGGCATGGCCTCTGGATAGGACACTCTTAAGTAGTCTGTGCTTGCTGAGCACAGTGTAAGTGTAAGATAGATAGTTCTAGTTAAAAATGAAGTAAAGTAAAGTAAAGTAAAGTAAAGTAAAGTAAAGTAAAGTAGGAGTTATAGACCACTATTTACAAAATACTTAAGCTTATTGGCTATATAATGCTGAGTACTGGCTATTAACCAATGCTTCTATGAGGGAGCCTCCTATCATTCTACATCCGTGTGACTAATAACCCCTGTTCGCTTTACACCCGGGTGTAAATCGACAGGGGGTCGTAAGTCAAGAACTTCATGGTGGAAATTGCTAGCAATTCAGGTGCCATTCAACCTAACTTCTTCAAGAACGTCGCATACGACTGGGAAATTCTCAATCCTTGAACTTGCACAGTCCGTGGCCACTTCATTCCAGCGCTGTGTATATATATCGAAGGAATGTCGCCATCATCCTCAATTCTGCTCATATTGTTACTGAATCAGTCGCACAGTTAGGATCAGTTTGGAACAGTGTGATCAGTGTCTTTGTCCAACTGTTTCCAGAATGGCCTTATCAGCCGAGGCGATAATTACTCTCATAGGTCTATTCATTGCTTGTGTTCCTGGCATTTGGTTCGCGGTCCAGAACAAACAACGGCTCCGGCAGTGGTGGAGCCGAGGAACCAGTCCCGAGGATTTGGCTTCACCATTACCTGGTACGATCTTAGTTTCCGCTGGTTATCTTGTGCTGCGGGGTTATTCTAACTCTTCCATTGATACTTTAGTCCATCACCGACCGAATGACGAGAACCAGGAAAATGGGCATCTCAACTATACACCTGGCTCTCACATATCTGATACAAACGGCCGATCGTACCTTCCACTGCCTTCCACTGGTCACCCATCCCACCATCATCGCCCTTCTTCAATATTCGAACCCTTTTATACTGTCCTGCAAAGATATGAGAATGCCAACGGACTGGTCAGTGGCATTTTTTTCTTCGCCAGGGTGAGCTTTTCCATATCTGACAAAATCATTCTGGGTTTTGGTTAATATATCCCTTATATGGCTTCGCAGTCCTCTGACACTGAACGAACTGGTGAGAATGAGCCTTTCATAGGTGCTAATGCCGATGTCGCTTCTTCGTCGCATGAGGAATTGCACTAGCTGGTGTAGGAAAATTTCGAGTCTTTGGATATGATTCTACTGATGGTGTCTATACTTGTCTGTTTGGGAGTTTATGCCAATAGATTTGTTGTTCGCAATGTGACGACCCCTACTATCGATCACCTTTTCTGCCATTGTTCTGAGCCTTCTGCCCTGATTCTCTGCACAGCGTCGTCTACTCAGTTAGTGATGTTTGATTAGTTTGCAGGATTGCCCCTGAACTCTTATACTGTTATACGTTTCTCTCTCTAAGTGCATAATTTTGCTTCTCATCTCTAGACTTGATATTCTACCCGACTGCCACCATGTCTTTTGATTTGCTGAAGCGCATGTCCTACGCAACACATTTCTTGGTAGTGAATATATATGGCAATGTATATTTTTCTTTTCGTCTGTTACAGTCCTCCTCTTTAATAAATAAAGGAAGTTACATACTCTTTATATGCTGGAGGAACCAGGGAAGGAACCGTGTACACCATTGTCGTCGCAGTATTCTAGTTAGCTATTGCTCAAGTACTACACTTAGATCGACTCCACCAGGTACGTTATTCAATCCCTTTTCTGATAAATAATCTCTTCAATAAGATAAGAAACACGAAAGCAAATAGATAACTCTGCGGATGACTGTATACATACCAAATAGAAAGTGCAGATAACTCAGGATTAACGCAATTAGTAAGGACTTAATGTACGAAAAGTAATCTAAACGGCCAGAGCCTCACCTAGGATTATGATCATGGGCTTTCAGAAACAATGCATACGACTGCCTCACTACATACTATTATACGCTCTGAGGTATTTATTGATAATGAGGTTACATCCGAGGCGAAGCAACCAGCTTAAAGCTAGTCATTATCGTCCAATGTAAGATCTTTGCGAGGACATCCCTGTCCAATTGTGGTCCTCCAGACGCTACTATATTTCTTGTTGGATATTGGCAAATCTAGTGAACTTGACCCTGGCTTAGATTCTCCGTAGGGATCCGTCCATAAATGAACAACCAGTATACAACCCTTGGATTGGATGCGGTACCCTGCTTCTGTTGGTTTTTGACTCACTTCTACGGTGACCGCTCATTTAGATACGACATAGATGGGTGGCCTAATCAAGCTATTCTCTGGGTATAAAGGCCAGGGGAGCGAGAGTCTAAACTACTCGCATTATCACAGCTTCCACTTTTCACCCAAATCTTTCGCAAAAGCCTGGGTCCATTGATTCTGCATACGCCGTCTAAGAAATCTCATCTATTACAAGTCCTTCAGAGCATTGACAGAACTCGCAATGAGAGTCAGCATCATCAGCATTCTCTCCCTTCTCATCACCAGCGGTCTCGCTATGGCTACAACCAGATACACCGTGCCTATCCCGGAGGGAATCCCTGTCCTCGAAACCCGCAAACAACTCAACGACATGGCAGACCAATATCCCATGGGAACCGTGGACGATAGAAACGGCGGCTACTACCTGCTCGACCACGATGGCACTGTGCTGGCCGTTACGTCTGACTCCCTCTGTGAGGAATTAGACGCCTCCATGGAATCAGCGAGAAAATTCCATGCCGATAACCTGGACGATGAGGCCGATGTTGCTCCTAGGGGCGATAATGCGGCTGCTTCTTGCTCTCACCCGCGCTGTCATACCCACGCTTTGTGTCGCACCTATAGTGATTGCCATGTTTGTTCGTCGAGCTATCATTGGTGTTTCTAAACCGTATTCACGATGCTGCTTGAAGGATGATGTCTTTAAGACAAGGGAAAATGGAATGAAGGCCATTTGACGGTTACATAGATTGATCTTGTTGCATAGGTGGTATTCAACATACCTGTGAAGTGGATGGATAAGAATACATTTGCTCTGGTTTAGGTAGAGAAACTAAGGTACTGAATCTAGTACAATTCTTCACATATTTTGCTACGATATATCAACGGGAACGGAGTCCCGGGGGAATACTGTACCCAGATAGTACCGGCTTCAGAAAGGTAGCTCATTTAGTAGCTCCTATACACTCCACCGGGGCCTCGAAACCTAGCTCACGCTTCCACTGTGAGAAATGCAACAAGTTTACAAAGAACTCGATCATCTGCAGGTGTGTTGCTCCTCATCCAAAAGCTTCCGCGCTTAACCAGGGTTATAGAGCCAAGAAGATCACGTAAGTAATTTTCGACAATGTCAAACGATTCGGACGCCAGGGTTCTTGGGAGCCATATAAATCTGCACTCCAACACGCAGTCTAGAAATCAATCCCTCATTGCCATCCAGCACCGCAAATGCGAATAATATCATGGCCCGGTTGCACATGTTCTGCATGGATATTGCCGCCCCCTACATCAAACCAATGCCGTGCACATACCGACAGCGATATTTTACTCCGCGTCGGTACTATACAGTCTTTCTCTGCATGGTACAACCTACTTGATCTTCCCGAGGTTCCTCCGTGAGGAGATATATCGGGAGTCTCGCGTTGAAATGCCCATGACCGCGTTCGAACTTTTGTCAAACACCACTTTCTTAATAGATGGCCGTAATGAATCTATCATTTGAGACAAATTCCTACACCTATGTCTCAGGATAGTCGCCTTGCACTGGAGCTTTCAGGCTGGTAATGACTGCGGTTCAAGCTTCAGTTACCATATGGGAGAATCGGCTCATCATGTACAAGGTGCCAGGACCATGCATGTGTCCTCTGGCATGGTCATAGATCGTTCAGCTAAGTACGGATTTCTGGCCGTAAGATGTAGGACGAACTCCGAGACGAGGCGAGCCTTACCGGCAGAAATGACTAGATCGCCAGACCGATCTCGCATTGTGGGTCACTCAAGAACCTACAATCACTGTACAAGGCAAAAGCTACTCGGACTGCATTACCCCGACCCCGCATCCCCGCATTGTCCAGCTCGTTTTGTTGTGCTGCTGATCTCGGACATCTTCCGGGTCGTCATACTCTTAAGTAGTCCTGCTTAAGACAGGGATGTGCACCGGTATCAGCAACCAACACGACAGACAACATGTCGAAATCTCCGACAGAACAGATAGAATTTAGGCAGACGAAATTGGAGAATGCCTCGGACGCCCTGTACGAGGCCTACGCCTCCAAGAGCCCCGAATGGCACCAACAGATGAGCCGACGCTTACTCCGAAAGGTGGATCTGCATCTCCTGCCCTTCCTGGTGCTGATGTATCTGCTGAACTTCCTGGATCGAAAGTATGTTTCCTTGCATCGACGTAAAATCAAGCTGACCGTTTCCGAAGTAATCTCTCACAAGCCCGGCTTGGTACATTGGAAAAAGACTTGGGGATGACTGGCACCGACTTCAACTTGGCGACGAGTATTTTGTTCGTCGGATACCTGCTCATGCAGCTCCCATCAAATCTGCTGCTGACGCGCGTGAAGCCGTCGTGGCTGCTGGGTGGAGCGATGGCGATCTGGTAGGTTCCCTCTTGGTTCGTCGGCTCGATCTGACCAGTCAGGGGTATTATATCGGCATGTCAGGCGGCAGCAACCTCTTTTACGGGATTGGTTCTGGCGAGGTTCTTCCTAGGGTTTGTGGAGGCACCCTTCTTCCCGG